TTAAAAAAGTAAAACCATCAGTTTAAAGGCAACATAATTTTGAATAACGTGTCCAAATTTCGAGATATTTTGTCGGTAAATAACAGAGAAAACACTGTATCTAGGTTTTGGTGTACCGATAAAACAGCCTTAATCTTCTTATTCAAAGATGGTTAGATATTAATGAAAACCTTTACATCTGCTTCACAGACTAGATAAGTCTTGTACCTTTATTTCCTTTTTATCATGTATTTTTGCTTCCAATATTCGTTAGGAGGTGTAGTATTTGTTTCCTCTACGTATATGACCAAGTTAGGAAGTTTTTTTCCGTAATTATTTTGAAAACTTTTCGTTAACAGCCTGCAGTTCTTAAAATTATTTCTTTCTTGACATGTGAGATCATGACACTCATAAGTCTCTGTAGAGCCCACATTTCAAATGCTGTAGTTTAAGTTTCATGCTTGAAGGTAAACTCTTTTTCATAGGTCTTAAAATTATTTGTCTTCGTATGTGAGGTCATGACACTCGCAAGAGTTTCTTTAGAGTCCACATTTCAAATGCTCCAATTTAAGTTTCATGCCTCAAGTTTAAATTCTTTTCATCACAGTCCCATTTTTCATTGATGTGGCGCCCAAGACTTAAATCGTGATACTCGCTTTATACCATCGATTGTGAAAGTGCTATTGACGAGGAATTCCGTTTATTTTAAATCTTCATATTTCTCCTTCCATAGCCATTTGGGACATCCTGTCCACGTATATGTAAAACTAGTGTTCTAGAAAGGCGTCAGAAGTCGTTGAAATGTTAAGTTTTATGTTGTTCCATATGCCACCTGGACACTCGATGTTTCATGGATTGTTACTTGAACATAGTTCTGCTAGTTCTGATTCCATTTTGTCTCTAACCCACGGTCCTCTCAATTTATCAATGTTATATATCAGCGTTGTTATTGTTCTTTTTATTGCGTGTATGTGAGTCCCAACATAGGATTAAATATGATAATATCATTATGGATCATATGAAAATCAGCCAAAGAGGTACTTCTCTTAGCATGATGAGCATGTTCTTGAACATATTTTATTTGAAATACGTTCATGAACATGGCGTCGCATCTCTAGCCGTAACCATTGTAGGGGGTCATCTTCAGCGAGGATGGAACTGCACGCTTCGACGAACAAGTCTCCTACAACGATGACATTTTGAAAGGGACACTCATGATGTTGAGCGCTCGCTCGGTCGGTCGAAAGCCACTCTTGAGATATCTGTTAATGAATATTATCTTAATGCGGCCTTGTTGGAGGGCATGAAGATAGCAGGTTGATTTTCATGGTACAGAGGGTACGTCGAGGTCATTTTCAAATGTTTATCTTAAATGTGTACACGTCTAAGTATTTAATATTTTACTCCGGGTCCGTAAAATAGGGAATACCGATATTATGACCTAAACCAAAAATATTTTCAAACGAAAAAGCTCACGCTCGTCGATTTCTAATTTTAATTTTTATACATTTTCCATCCTTAAGTAACGTCAACGTGCTTTGTCTTTGTTCTTTTTAGGAACAGTTGAGGCCATACGAAAACTATCTTGTAATCGGAAGAGGCATGATTCGATTTCTCTGATATTTTGCGAAATTTATTTTGTTCATGGTGCCCTAGAAAGTTAATTCTTTGTGAAGAGATTTTCATCCAGCGGGTTTCCTAAATATTCCTTAATTTCCTAAATATAGAAAATATTTTATAACGCAATGAAAACTGTTGATTAAACAGAATACTAATAAATTTAAAAAAACGCATAGAATATGTAATATTAACAAAAAAAGTTTACCACTTACCAGTTTTCAATGACATCCACAATTCTTCGAGGCATAGTTTTTAACAAGTTTTGACAAAATTCTAATGTAAACGAATTCCATGTTTCTTGTCACGGACCTGGCAGGATGTTTTCTCAAAGCTTTTTTTTTTATTTCGCGCCTCAATGTCTCTATCGGTTACAAGTCGGGACTGCTAGAAACCCATTCCAGAAGTGGTATGACATGATCTTCAATCAATTTTAAACTCTTTTTTGAGATATGAAAACCTGCGCCATAATGGTGGAAGACAAAATCTTCCGCTGATGTTAATCGGTAAAAGAGATTCTTCTAAAATATTAAAATATTTGTCCGTGTTTACAACCCATCGATAAAATGTAACTTGCCCACGCCTTTAGACGACATGCTGTCCCAGATCTGGGAAATTTGACTTTTCTGGCAGTCGGGATGGAAAGCCTCATTTTTCGTGCGAATGACGCGACTTCTACTGTCTCCAACACACATTTTAAATCTAGACTCATCACTCCATTGTATTGAATCCCATTGCGACTGAGTCCAATCTGTATGTTATTGATCATCTTGTCTATTTTTCTTTCGTTGTAATGTTATAAATGGCTTTTCCTTAGCCTAAAATAAAATGAAATTTATTAAAAACAATTCGTACTAATTTTTTCAACTATAAAACTTATAACGTCACTCTATAAAGCGCTTAACTCCATATAATTTGTTCGTCGATTTTTCACTATAATGCGTCTTAATGCCCTTCGAGCTGCTTCGGTTATTTTACTTTTTCGTACATTTCTAGGACCGAACCTGTAGTTTTGTATCTTCTGACTATAATTTCTGATTATTTCTGATTATATATTTCTTACACTATAGCCGACAATTGCAACAGATTTGCGATTTCCGAATTGGATTTTCCAGAATTAAAAAATCTAATAATGATTGAACAAATTTTCTCATCGATAACTTTACCTCAGCCCATTGTACGGCTGAGCTTTACAATACTACAAAGTACATTTGACATTACCTGACAATATTATTGTTTTGATGTCATTTTTCTATAGCTACCTCCGGATTTAACGTAATTATGAAAAAATCTACGTATGTTGACATAAGTGAATTCTTAGCCAGAGTTTAATAAATTTTTTTATTGTTGAAAATAAATAAAAAACCATAAGGGCAATGTTTTTAATAAATATTAATAAAAATGCAATATTAATTAATATGGGAACTTATAAAAACATGCAGAGTATTATTTGTTTAGGGTAATCGACTAAATCTGCAAATTTCATAGGTGGGGCCAATTGATATGGAAAGGGGTTCGTATTAGTGATATATTACACAAAACAATTGAAAGAATCCAACATCTTATGAATATTGACAAATTTACTGACACTATCTTAAACGTTTTCGTTGACACATTTTTGAAAGTTTAGATTATATTCAAGTTTGTCCAGCGTTTTCTCTTATTCTGTGTACTCAAATCGTCAACTATAAGAACTCAGAGCAAAAAACGAAAATAGGGGACATAAAATAACTTCCTTTTTTTTTCATATCTACACTATTACGAAACATAACGAAAAAAAAAAATGAATACAGTAATACAGTAAAATGTACAAACAAATGATTCGATTTTGTTTATTGAAATTGGCGTTTTTAAGACACAGTTATTGCAGAGAAAGCACTGTACCCAAGGCAATTTGAAAATAAAGACTTAAATTTTATTTATTGTCGATCGAAAGGACCCTAAAGTGTTTTTCTTCCTCGGCTTTTCCTTTTCAGGAATCATTATTCCTTACTCTTCTTCACCACTCATTTCTGTCCATCGTGTCTTCTTCACCTAAACCTTTCTTTCTCAAGTCCTTTGCCATACAGTCTAGCAGCTCTATCCTTTGTCACATCCTTTGACACGACCAAACCATTGCATTGCGTTTGTCTTTAATCTTTTTTGAGACTGTGTTAACCCGACTCTTTTCTTAATCAAGTCGTTCCTGTTCCTGTCTCATTTAGTCTTATCAAACAGCCATCGCAACATTTCATTTTAGCTAGCTCGTAACTTCTTTTCCTGAATTCTCTTTAAAGGCCACACTTCATCATCGTACACCAACTGACAACAACAGCAAAGAGCACTGACCAAGTAGCCCCTTTTCTTACCTTTTATGCCAATACATCCATAACAAGGTTAACAAGAAATAAAAATTCACATAGAACGAGATTTAAATATGCTACAGTCTTATCATAACAAATGGATTTTTTTTAAACCCTTTTCTCTATTCGGATTGCCGAATATAGATAGGCCTTTCCTAATTCTCGCCATTCATCTCTGTTGTTTGTAAGACGTTTCCACATTGATCGTGCAGTTCTTTTAATATCGTTGCTTCAGAGTATTAGCGATCTTCCTCGTGGTCTTTTGGCTTCATATGGCTGCCAATTCCCGATTTCTTTATTCCATCGGCCATCCGTAAGACGTTCGTTATGTCCAGTCCATTTCCATTTCAGTTTAGCTGCCTCTTTAACAAATGTCTTCTAAACTTCTAAACTTCTAAACAGTGCCTTCTACACAAATAAAAAATACTTGAAGGCAAAAAATTGATTCGAAGTCCAAAGTTCCAAGTTTATAATAATAATGCCAATAGTAATGTATATTTCAAAATAAGGACCATTGTAGTAAAAGAAGAGGAAGAACTAAAAAGTTTTTCGTGAATAATAACGGGGAAAGTAGATGGATGAAGCATGAAATAAACGAATTTATGAAAAAAGAAAACTTAGTCAAGGTAATAAAATGGCAAAGAATGAGATGGCATGGGCACCTATTAAGAAACGGATCAGCTATTTCAAGATGATAACATATTAAAAAAAAACAGGTAAAATACTAAGAGGCAGACTATAAGAAATACACCAATGAAAGTATTACAAAACAAAACTCAGAAAGGGTTTTTTACACGTTTACAAACTCTTTTTATATGGAAATCTCCAGAGTACAAGGAATTTTCAAGTAGAAACAGGCTTTCACAGAAAGCTACAGCTGGTATGATGGTGATACATTAATTGTTGTGTTTTCGGTAATTTTAATACGAAGTACAAGGTAGACTTGACGTACTGACAAAATTAAAAACCCTATTTCGTGTTTTCCTTAAAACTTTAACCTCAAGTTCAAAACATGTTATATAATTTATATCCAAACTAATTATTTGTTTCTTTTTCTTACAGAAAAGGCTGGATTTCAACCTCCATATGGAGGCTTAGATAACGGAATGGTAAGTTTGATATATTTTAGAGTTTTAACAATAAAATCGTTATATTTACTAACATATGAAGAATTATGATAGTGCAAGTATAATTATTGATAGACAGAGGCCTACATTAAGTATTAACTATATCACTATGTCAACTAAGCCAAAGCTTTACATACAGAGAGTTGAATAAACTGCTTAAATAAAGGTCTTAAATAACTAACAAAGATACGTTACGTAATAAAAGAAAGATATTGGTCCAAACAAAATAATACCACAATTATATGAACACTGATCCACATTGGAGCCTGCCCAAAAATATCCTACGAATATAAATATAACACTCTAAAGAAATACCATGTACTTACTTCACATGCTTTACAAAAATTACAAAATAAAAAGATTAGTTATGTACAGTTATTTAAATGGTGCTACTTATCTTCAGAAAGCTGTTTGCTGGAACTTCCTATGAATGTGTTCTATGAATGTGAGTTCTTACATGGTTCTTACATGATATTGAATTTACTGGAATGCTTCTTGCATGATGTTGAATTTGTTCCTGGATGTTAAACGGAAATAAATATTAACCTAACATGTTTTACATTATTAATACTCTAGAAAGAACTTAAGCCCAGGAAAGAACTACATTACAAAACGAAGCAGCCAGTATCAGTTTGAGTAATGTTTGAAATCCTGGTTTGTTCTGGCGTTAAGAGCGCAACAATATTTATATAGAATAAAAATGATAAATTACTAAATCATATACATTTAAAGATCATAGATTTACATAAAAATTAAAATATAAGAACTTATTTTCAAAGAAGAATAAAAATCCTGAAAGTATTTATCAAACAAGAACAACGAATATTTATAATTGACGGATTTTGTTTCGATTATTGAAAGGCCTCTTTTATGTTCTGCTATACGTTTGTTGAAAGTTCTACCAGTTTGACCGATGTAAGTTTTTGGGCAGTCGCCACATTTAAGTTTGTGTACACCGCTGTGTAAGTGCTTTTTATTTTGGCGCTTATTGATTTTAATATATTTGCCTTAAGTGGTTGTTTATTCTAAAGGCTGGTATTATTTCTTTCTTTTTTATGTGTTAGGCTATTTTTGTTGACATCTTGCCTGTATATGCATATAAACGTATGAGAATATTTATAAAATAAAATTAAAACCATTCTCCAAGGTTGGTTTGAATTACAACAGAAAATAAAATATTTTAATCAAAAATAGTCAGTAACCTAGGAAAAAAGGCAACCCTACTTTCTAATGTTTACCAGAAGTCATACAGTGTGGAAACCACTTATGTAATAAAATTGTTTGTGTCCTTATTTTAGAAAAGAATTAAAAAAGTTGAGATACCTTAACTTTTAAATTTAAATGTACGCTTTTTAAACATAAATTTGAATTTACAGGGTGATCAAGTCTGACATAGTCCATAATCTGTATTTTAAATGAAACACCCTGTATATTTTTATGTTTTTAAAAGCTCCTTAACAACCTGATCTCAACGAACTATATCATGTAGGGTCCATTATGAATAATACAAGGTGAAAATTTGAAATGAAGTATAATTTTCTTCAAGACAATTAATTCATAGAATACCCGATGTAATTGATTGGATTACATTAAAATAAATGCTCAAAATGTTCTCTACCTTATTGTTGGCAATAACACAGTCTCCTATAAAACTCGTTCCAAACTTTGTTTAAAGTTTGAGGTGAAATATTCCGTATTTCTGTAGTTATCCTTTCTTTGAGGTCTTCAATGGTAGTTGATTGTGTTGCATATACTTTGTTCTTGAGATAACCCCACAAAAAATCCAAAGGCGTAAGATCTGGCGACATAGCTGGCCACTCAATAGTACCCCTTCATCAAATCCATTTATTGAAGAAGATTTGAAGTAATTTCTCACCATTAAAGCATCATAGGATGTTGCTCCGTCCTGCTGGAACCAGACAGTTTCATGCGGTAGGGTCGGATCTATTTATTTTAATGTAAAATGTCAACAACATGTCAACTGATTGATAACAATCTGCATTATTTACCGATTTAGTTTAGTTAGCAGACTATCTATGTATACATCTTTTACCTATTCATCACAAAAAATGTTAACACGGTTACTAAACAGAAATTTTCTCCAATATACTGACACTTAGAATAGAAGTGTATTGTCTGTATTTAGCTAATTTAAAATAATACCATAACACGTGATAATTTATTAATTTCAAAATTTCACCTTGTATTATTCATTATAGACCCTACATGATATAGTTCGTTGAAATCAGGTTGTTAAGAGTCTTTTAAAAACATAAAAATATGCTTCATTGTTTCATGTTTTCATATGTTTCATTAAAAATAAGGGTTATGGACTATGCCAGATTTGCGTGGATCACCCTGTACAGTTAAATTACTGTTTAAAAAGTGCACATTTTAATTTAAAAGTTAACGTGTTCCAGAGTTTTTTATTATTTTCTATAATAAGGACGCAAACAATTTTATTCCATAAGTGGTTTCCACATTGTATATTTTATACTGTGCTTTTCAGATAAAATTATCCACCCTTAATAACTTTTGTACTTCTAATTTAAAAAAAAAGCACAAAAACACGTCAATTAATATTTGATGAGGTGGACATGTCATTTTTAAGCTAGCTGGGAAAGGCACACTCTCACCCCCTATCATCGTGATACGGGACAAGGACTGGATAAGAAATAGAAGAGTAGAATTGAATGATTATGTAAGCTGAATGACAACAAATAGCTTAGTAAAGACGGCAAGAGACGGTGCCACAATAAGAAGACGATCAGTAGGAAGGCCAATTAAAGTCGATATTAAAGGCGATATTAAAGTCATGGCTACGTAAAAATAAGAAAAATATTTGTAGTGCCTTTAAAAACTAAAAAACAATGGTGAAAAACGTAAAAAACACTGAAAACGCAAAAAACAATAAAAAACGCTAAAAACAAGAAAAATTCTGAAAATGCGAAAAAGCACCGAAAAAGGCTAAAAACACGAAAAATGTCGAAAAACGCGGAAAAACACTAAAACCGAGAAAAATACTGAAAATGGCGAAAAATGTCGAAGAACGCAGAAAAACACAAAAAATGGCGAAAAAACGTTAAAAACACGAAAAATGCTAAAGGCACAAAAATTGCCGAAAAGGGCGAAAAAACGCTAAAAACGCGAAAAAAATGCCGAAAGACACAGTATTTTGATATATGTGCAATTTGATCGCTGAAATATATACATTTTGCAAAAAATAATCGAAATTGTAGGTTTAGACTACAAAAATAATAATTATTATGCAATAGCTGCTACTAGAATTTTTAATAAAACACATCGGCAGGGACTCTTAAATAAAGAAGCAATCCAAGTAGCCGTTTTTAGGCTGAGCAATCATAGTCACTGTCAACAATAAGCAGAGCAATCGGTATTTCACCGTCTACAACAGCCTTCCGAATTCTCCATAAATTTAAGTTCCATCCATACAAAATAAAATTAGTACAAGACTTAAATGAAGATTCTGATCGTCGTCTCGAATTTTGCGAATTAATGACAATACATTATTAACAATCCACTATGCTATGCTATGTTCATTAAATGGCTTGGTGAACAGACATAATTTACGATACTGGGCTGAGAGTGATCCACATATTGTGCGTGAATTTCACACACAGCATCCTCAAAAGTTAAACTTATGGTGTGCTATCCTAGGCAATTACATTATCGGACCCTTCTTTATCACTACAAACTTATATGATGTATCGTATCGTAAGTTACTTAGGCAAGTGGTTGATCGTATTAGAACAATAGTAGAAATGATGATAACCTTTCTGAAGATTTGGTTGTATTTCAACATGATGGAGCTGCTCCACACTTTGTCTACCTGTGCGACATTTTTTAAATGAAACTTTTTCCGCTCGTTGGATAGCTAGAAGAGGACATACGATGGATTGGTAACCCAGATCACGTCTATACTTCATCTTGTTATGGGGGTTTTTAAAAACAAAAATTTATGCTATTGAACGAGAATCTCTGGATGATTTACGACCAAGGAATAGAGGATTAATGTTGACAATTAAATGCAGACGTGTTAAGCAATGTCAGAGAAGAATTTCAAAATTGATTGTACTATTGTATGGAATTGTAACATTGTACTATTGAATGGAAGTAATATTAACATCAGTACAAAGTGAATAATCCAAATATCAGATTGAAGTAGTTTAAAAAAAATTAAGGGATACACGGGGGTGGAAGGGTACCTTTTCCAGCAAGCTTAAATATGATGTGATGTTTCTCCCATCAAATATTAATATTGACGTGTTTTTGTGCCTTTCCTAAAAATTAAAAGTTCACAAGTTATTTAATTTTGATAGTTTTATCTGAAAAGCACTGTATAAAATAGACTGAGCAAGTCGGCAGTTTCCATTGTACAAGATCTCTCAACTAATTTCCTTTATCTCTCTTTAGCCCGTTATTTTATTTTACCCTCTCTTTAACCTCCGTACAAAAGGACAGAGACAGAGGAAAAACGTTTAAAAGAAAAAAAGAAGGAAACAGAAAGATGGGCCCTTCACTTTACCTGATTTGCACTTGATTTTCGTGTTGTTCTTTCTCTGATTGGTTTATTTTTTTGTGCGTTTCTCTTTGTCCTGCTTTGTATCTTTATCTCTTCGGGACGTGGCTTGTTTTGTTGGGTGTTTGCATCGGTGGATGTTGTTCCTGCGGAGGAGGTAGATGTATAGGGTAGTCGGAGGTGAAAGGGTTTGAACTAAAACGGTCCTTTTCAGAAATTGTTACTATATTAATTTGTGATACGAATGAGTGAGTTTACATACAAAATGAGATATAAAATGTAATGAGTCGCGGTGAGGACAGCTATGGCCGTTATCTCTCTATAATAGAGACGCTTTGCCTTATGAACCGCACAGTCTATTTATATTTAAGTCTATGTCAGACGTGGAGAAGGCATCCTTGCTGACAAGGTGTCAACAGTTTAACCAATCAGCTGCTTAAAT